TTCGTTCCTAAATAATCCAATCATGTGTGCGTGTGTTCAAATACAATTTGTCGAATAATTATGAGGCCACCGGTTCTCCGCCCGTGTGCAGATCGATACGGCCTTTGTTTGAGGGTAAAATATGTCAAATTTTACTACGAAGAAGATTTTTATTATAAAACAGCTTAGCTCTTAGTGTTTAAAAAGAATGGCCGGAACTACTGCCCAAATTAGTAGCAAAAAACAGACTTGATAAAACCAAATGCAGTCCTAGCTGGTAGTAAACTCCAGCAGCTATTAAGCGCATTCGGCGCTGTTTCTTAAAATTACTGGAACATTACTCTTATTAGCATAGCTGGCTAGAGCCTCTGCCTGACATTCGCACGAACTCCTTCTTATGACCCCGTGATGAGTCATTCTCACGAAATAAATGTGTGTATTTATAGCATCCCGTTTTGATTAGCTATATTTTGTCCAAGCCACTTTGAAGACAACGCTCTAGAAGGGCCAAGTCACTTCTCACAGACATGGACCAATCAGTTTTGAGAAGAGCTCTGTGGCCAGAGCCAAGTCGGCACGTTCATGGCATGCGGCGTGGGCATTCCCAACACTCCTCAATGCTCATTTCCTACCAATGGAAAGATCGCTGTATCCGGGAGGTAAAAATAACAGCAATACCAAAAGAGGTGGTAAAACAAAATACGCAGTCCAGCAGCTATTAAATACAATCGGCGCTGTTCCTTAACAATGACTGGACTACCAGTCTAATCGGTACAGTTGGCTGGATCCCCTACCTGGCATTTGTGTGAACTCCTCAATGCTCGTCTCCCGCCAACGGAAAGCTTGCTGTATCTGGGCGGCATCCCTCTCCAGGCCAAGAGTTAATGCAGTCGGGGGCGATGTGTCGCTGACTGTGTCCAACAGTGGGGGAATGGGACGCGGGGGGTGTTGGGGGAAAGGAGAGGGCTGGCAGCGGACCACAGTGGACTGCGCTGACAGCGAGAAGTGAAGGGAGATTAGGTGTCCGGAAGGCCGACAGAGCAGATGCAGCCATGGTCCGGCAATCCGACAAGAGAGGTCGGCTGTTGCTGCTGC